GTTGTCTTCCGAATTGTTGAAATGTCTTGTTGTTGTTGTTATTTCCTAGTTCAAAAATAGAAAGAAGTCCAAAATTCCTATTTACAAGTCTCAAGAGACCACGGCACAATAAAAAGAGTTTTTTTCTTTGTCTACAGCAGTCCAGGGTGTACCAAATATAAATTACGGGTACAATCTAGCATCAAACTCCTTCAAACTCATTGTTTACTATTCTGAAAGGATAGAAACTGTTCCGGAAGACTTCCTTCTATTTTTGAACTAGGAAATAACAACGACAAGACATTTCAACATTTCGGAAGACAACACACCGCTAGCGATCTGCCTTGAGACGTACCTGTTGCTGAGAATTTCTAAGTGCATTGCACACTGCAGCAGAAATTCTTGCCGCCACGTCATCGTTGGAAGCCATGTTGAGAGAGATCGACGTTGAGTGTTGGTCCCGGCCGGGGCTCGAACCCTCGACCTCCCGCACAACAGTCCAGTGTTCTATTCAGTGAGCTGACTGGGAGGCGGTTAACTCATCGTTGCAAATGAGCGGGAAATGAGCGGGAAAACAGGCCACGTGGTTGTTACGTCTCCATACCAAATTAGGTAAATAACCAATTTTGCACTAAATAACAAATTTTCCATGATTTTGGTTATTTAGCAAATAACCAATTTTCAGTTTTGGTTACTTACAAATAACCAATTTCCGGTTTTGGTTATTTCGCACATAACCAATTTTCAGTTTTGGTTATTTACAAATAACCAATTTTAAGTTTTGGTTATTTAGCAAATAACCAATTTTCAGTTTTGGTTATTTAGCAAATAACCACTTTGCAATTTTGGTTATTTGGCAAATAACCACATTGATGTTTAGGTTATTTGCTAAATAACCAATGTCTCGTTTTGGTTAATTATAAATAACCAAACTGCAATGTGGTTATTTACATATAACCATACTTGTTTTGTTTATATACAAATAACCACTCTAAATAATAAAAATACATTTGGCGCCCCATACTTATGAGCCACCATATGGAACCGTGTGCAATGATGGGTGTCACGAAAACTCAGACCTCAGACCTCAGACCCCGAGAACTCAGACCCCGAAACTCAGACCCCTCGAAATTTATTTAAATTTCATTTACCAAGAGATAAACTCGACTCGTGATCAATTGTTAACATGTCGCGTATTTTTTTTTTTTTATGTTACACAATCAATCCACGAGTGTAGATTCATTTTGATTCAATGTGCTTTTCGCGTAATTTTTTGACACGCAGTGAACATGGTGAATGTATAGAACATTTTATGAATTATCAATCTCTTCCTTGGCTGCCAGTATTTAATTGAGTGCATTCTAATAGATGATTTAAGGGATATAAATGAGGATTAAAGTTCGAAATGTCGCCTGGATGAATAAATATTAACGGACACTCTCGTAAGTGGACAGCTCTACTTACAGCCACCTAGTCAAAACCCCGCTTTATTAAACTCCCATACAAACTCTGTATTTTCCCATTCTTGTGAGCGGACACTTTTTTCGGCACTTTTTACGGCCACTTTTTTCGCCCCTCAAGGGTGTCCGCTTAAATAAGAGAGCTTCGACTGTACACGAGTAGAGTACAGGACAAAGAGGTTTAATAATACAAATTTACCCATGCCCAAAACCATTGCTGCGGCCGATCGATCGCTCGATGGATCCATCGTCTAAGTTCTTAAGTTGAATGACTCTCGTATAAAGCAAGAGGTAAGGTTTGAAGCTTTATAAAGAAACGAGTAACGAAAATAAAATTCAGGTTCGCCAGAAATTTCAACATTAGTTCTAATTTTTTACTGACTTAACTAGCT